TGTGGTTGCACAGTCAGCTAGATGGCACTTAAAGCTGAGCTAAAAAACTCCTCAAATATGTTCCCTCTGACATGAAACAATAAATGCACAAAGCGCAATGTGTATGTGTATATACACTATATATATGATTTATATGTACGTGTATACATACTCTACAAGGCAGATTAACATACTGGGCAATAATGGATAAATACAGCATGCGTCTTTACTCCCAATCAATAATATGATTCCCATTGATATTTACACTTTTATGTTAAGTTATTTTCTTCCTTTTCCTATACTTGCCTTGTCATGATAGATTTATGTTCAGAAAGTTAAGTTTACAACAATGAAATTAATGACTATGCTATTATAAAAGCCAGGGAAAAGTAATAGGAGAGGAAATAGGGAGGGAGAAGAAAGGGAGAGATGATCCCTTATACTTATAAATCTATATCACAGGAGCTGGCGCAGTGATGCAGCAGGCTAACCCTCCACCTTGCAGTGCCAGAAGTGGATGCTCCACTGCCAATCTAGATCCTGGCTTGTGGCCTGGGAAAAGCAGTGGAAGATGGCCCAAGTCCTTGGGATCCTGCTCCAGGGAGACCCACAGGAAGCTCCTGGCTTCAGACCAGCTCAGCTCTGGCAGCTGTGGCCATTTGGGAAGTAAACCAATGGATGGGAGATCTTCTCTATCTATCCTTCCCTCTATATAAAATCTCTGTTAAACAAACAAACAAAAAAATGTATCTTAAAAACATCTATATCACGGAACAAATAAATAAATCATTTTTTTATCCATAGAATATGTGGAAGAGGTAGGGAAGATCAGAGAGTAAAAGGTTTTCAATTGGTCAAAAGTATTTAGACGTGCAAGTATGGAATCAAGTTTGAAGAAAAAACAGGAAGTCATGGGATCAAAAGATGTAATGGTTCCATCTATTATCATACCGATTATAAAATGTACCTGCAATGCTGCTCAAAATAAACAATGAACAATTTGTGAAGATTTGGAAAAGTGTATACTTTCAAACCGAAAAATATGCTGGTTTGAAAGTTTATATGCTACTATTGTGCTCTGCACACCTAGACAATGTACGGGCTAGTTACTGATCAGTAAATAGAAATTAGTCTCCTATATGTTTCAAGTATCAACAAGGACTCACTACAACATCTGGAAATTTATTACTTTTCCTGACTGAAAATGAGTCAAATATACTTTTTGAGGATTTTTAGATTCATTTCTGTTTATTTACTATTAGTTTACCTGGTTTGGTTTTCTTAACATTTGTTGACTGACAAATCAAATATTAGCTCTCTAAAATTTTCAGTCCTTGAGGAAGTTAGCTTACATCTAAGATTGCATGGCCTGATACTGACCTGATACTGTCACCAAGCAACAGAAATCCACAGTTTGAAGGACTGAAGCTTGCTCTAAAAATAAATGCTAATAAAGATGTCATTATTTAAGATGTCTCACTTTGGGTAGCTTAATTAGTCATGTTCTAACTCGCACTCTTTAATTAAAAAAGTCCATCTTAAAAAAACTCAGAAGATATCTGACTGGTTTCAACACAAAGAAATTATATTTTAAGAAGACAGGTTTACCATGATTTGAGGATTACACATGTGCACATATTGAAACATCACAATACCCTATAGATATGTGCAATTTTAACATAGCAATGAAAAAAATAAATATCTTAGAAAACACACAAAAAATGTCAAGAAAATAATTAATCAGTCTTTAATTTGTCAGAAAAGTATGAACAGCCAAGAAAACAATGAAGACCAGTTCGTAAGCTTGCTTTGTATGAGCTCAGAATCATATTTTTCCTCAAGTAGTTTATATGGAAAAGACAATTCATTCATTAATTAGTACTATGCTTATAATGAACATGAGTGTAAAAGTTCCAACATCAGGTACCAAAAATTTGAACATTAGCCAACAAAATTAGATCTCTGTTCAGCTTACATAAATGAAGTACTGATTCTTGATCAACAGCGTCCTGACGTTACAGCAAGTATTTGCACTTGTCCCCAGGCAGTCAGATTCAGCGGAAAAGTATTCAACAGAGCCCACAGATGAGATAGGGAATTAAGAAAATAGAATCTGGGACAGATATTTGGCCTAGCAGTGAATACACCTGCATCTTACATAGGAATGCCTGAGTGTGATATTTGGCCCTGGCTCCTGACACCAGCTCCCTGTTAATGAGAAAACTGACAGGCACGGATGATAGTTCAACTAATTAGGATTCACCCAGGCAGAACAAATGGACTGAGTACCCAGCTCATGGTTTTGGTCAGGCCAAGTTGACGCTGTTGCAGGCATAATGGGGAGTAAACCAGCAAATAAGTATACTCCTTGCCATTCACTCCCAGATGATAAACTCTTAAAAACAAAGAAAATAGGACTCAGCTCAGTAGCCTAGTAGCCAAAGTCCTCACCCTGCAAGTGCCAGGATCCCATAAGGGCTCCATTTCTAATCCCGGCAGCTCCACTTCCCATCCAGCTTCCTGCTTGTGGCCTGGGAAAACCGTGGAGGACGGCCAAGGCCTGGGGACCCTGCACCCGTGTGGGAGACCTGGAAGAAGCTTCTGACTCCTGGCTTCAGATTGGCTCAGCTCCGGGCGTTTTGGCCACTTGGGGGGTGAGTCAGTGGACAAAACATCTATCTCTCCTCCTCTCTGTATATCTGACTTTCCAATAAAAACTTAAAAAGAAAGAAAGTAGTCTCACAGTGAATGATTTTGGTCTTAATCACTTCTAACCAGCTTTGTCTACTGTTTATTTCCATTCAGGAGCACAGTAACCAAAGGTTCCGCCCTTAGTCTTCTATGTCTGTTCCGTTCTTTGATGATATCATCAAATTGCATTGTTTCAGCCATCGCCTCTTTCAGTTATGGTCTCCTTCCTGCGCTTACACTGCATTTTGTATTACCAAATGAAAAGTTCTATCTGGATGTTTTATTGGCACCTCCAATATGCTCAAGATCAAGAACTTCACCTCCACAAACAAGAACTCCTGACTTACAGCCTACTTCTGAGACAGTCACAAGTATGCTTTCATCTTGGCATCATCTTTTAAGTCTGATTTTTTTTTTATTTCTAATATCAAATCTGTTGGTTAAGTCTGGTTGACTCTACCTCACAATATCTCTTAACATCTTTGACCTTCACTTTACCATCACTCTAGAACAAATCCTTTCCTTTCTGCATGCAGCATTAGCTTCCTAACTGGTTATTAAATATTAGCTGAACCAATGAAAGGAATGAATGGCATCTCTACTCTGAGTCTCTCAGCATTTTAAATCATGTAGGACAACAAAGCACAATCAAATTCCTTAAAGCACAGTTCTAATCTTTAATTAGTCTTCTATATAAAGCAGAGGTTCCTTTTCCCACATACCAAAATAAATTTTTCTGTTTTACAGGTAAGGTATTGCATATTATGAATTCCTTCTAAGCCTACTTCTAGTCATTCTGAAACATTTTCCTCTCACTGGAGCAAAGCTGGATTGCTAACTTCCACAATGTGCTTTATTTAGTTTACAGTTCCATGTTGTGCCTACACCTATGCCAATCCTACTCATCAGTCTCAGCCTCAGATGTGATCCCCTCTGTAAAAACCTTTCCTGACTTCCCATCACAGAGTTTCCCTTCTTTCCTCTGAAACTGTGGTATCATTTGACTGGTACTTCTTTTTTTATTTCCATTTTTATTCATATAAAGAGAGCAGAATTCATGTAATTCACAGATAACTAGTCTAAGATTACGGTGCTTTCCTCTCCCCTCCTTTTGTATAATTTTTGTGATAACATTTTTAAAATGTAGTTATTTGAAAACCAGAGCTAGAGCGAAAGGGAGAGGGAGAGAAAGGGAGGGAGAGAAGGAAGGAGGGAGAGCAGGAGATCTTCCATCCACTGGTTCACATTCCAGAAGGCTGTAATGGCCAGGATTGTATCAGGTCAGAGCCAGGAGACAGGAGCTTCATCCAAGCCTCCTACATGGGCCTAAACACTTGAACCATCTTCACTGCCTTTCTCAGGGTCATTAGAAGGGAGCTGGATGGGAGCTGCTCAGCAGCTGTGACACAAACCAGTCACCCATATGGGATGTTAGCATCAACAGATGGTGGCTTTACTCACTACACCACAATGCCAGTCCCTTACTAACATTTTTAAGTTAGTACACTGCAAACATCGAATGCTCCACTAAAAGAAGAGTCCAATAAGCAAAAAAGCCAGAGCACCACTGTACCTTTAAAAATCATTTATGACAAACTTTGCATGACAGCAGTAAAATAAAACTTCCCTTAATACATGCAGGTCCTATTTTATAAATAGGGAAACTGATTCACGAAGACTAATTAATTTGCCCAAGACCACAGGATTAAGTGGTAGAATCCAGGCAGCCTGATTTCATATTTGTCACTGTGCAGGCATACTGTACCTATACATACATACTACCCTGACTTTAATATCTGAGTAAATTAAAAATAAGGATTTTTTTTTTCTTGAAAACTCAGGGTCATCACTTATAAATCTGTTTTATAGTACAAAGACAAACTGAAGAGGCTGCTGGAATGTAAAGGGTACCTTATGATCAAAATGCCAGTTTGTGGGTATCAATGGGCCTAACGCCTTTATTCTCTTTCAATTCATTGGTGGCTGGGAACCAGGCTTATCAGAAATATGTATTAAGAGCCAACAAGACTCAAGACCTTCATTTATAAACCTCCTCATGTTTGGTTACAACCAATACTTCTGTTTCTTCTATTGGTTTCAGAAATGAATTCCATTAGGTTGAAGCTCTTTGAAGTCTGACCCAGCAATAACTTGGGCATTGTTACACAATTTCTGGCAATTTCATGAAGCAATTGTATGAACTAAAAGAAGGTCCTAAAAGTTGGCCATCCTTCCTCTAATGTGGATTATACCAGTCCAGAACTCAAGACAAGAAATGTGGCGGTATTAGATACAGTAACAAAACAATGCATAATTTTTTCTGTTCTTACCTTTGCACCACCCAAAAATCCCAAGGAAATGGCAACTCTAGCTCGCAGATCTGGCCTGTCTTTAGGCCACACATAAGAAAGCATTGCTTTTATGATTTTCCGAGTATCAACATCTTTTAACTGTTGGAAAGGAGAAAACATAGCAGTGAGTAACATATCATTTCAACTATAACTGTATTTTAGTAATATAAAACTCAAACAAATATTTGCAAAACACATGAAAACATTGTAAACATAATTGATCCTGAATCGAAGGCTATGTCAAACTGTAAATATACTGGAGAAAAGAAATGATACTGATTTTTTAAAGCAACTCATTTTAAATTCACATTGAACATATATACCTATATTTATTATTACTTTTAACTTCATACATGAAATCATGCAGTATGTCTTCCTGTGTGTTTTGTTTTATTTAATATAATGATTTCCAGTATTACCAACTTTACTGTCAGAATTTTACTTTTTATGGCAAAATAATATTCCATTGTGTGTATATATCACATTCTCTTCATCCAGTCACTAGTTGATAAACATCCACGTTGATTCTACATCTTGGTTATTGTGAATAATACTACAATGAACATAGGAGTGCAGATATTTCTTTCATGTACTGACTATATTTCCTTCAGATATGTATCCAGAAGAGAGATGACCTGATTACAGAAATTGAGAGGAATGTGGACGAGACTGGGCAATGGTTACCAAAACAGAGCAGGGTGAATCTGATCGGGTTCGGTGTTCTGCAATGCAGTGAGATGACTAGGGCTTATCAAGATGCATATTCTGTATATAGAACTGTATCAGAGAAACTAGAAGGCTTCAAACACAAAGAGAAAATAAGGATACGGAAACACAAGCTACCTGGTATGATCAGTTATAAGCTCTGTATATGTGCTGCATTTTAATGCTTAAAAATGTGCAAGCACTGCAAGTTAATTCAAAACTAAAATAAAATGGTACTTATTTCTTTTAAATTGCTTGTCTTCAACTGCAGCCACTCTCTTAGTGTTAAAAAATTATTCCATCATGGTGAACAGACACATATTTCTCATCTGTAACACCATCAAACGTGATACAAAACTTTAAAATGTTTCCATATTTCTTTGTAGTCAAAAACTTCATAAACCTTTAGGTAATTCATAGTAGGACAGAGTTACAACACTGTGTTTAAGAAAGTAGGGGGTCTAAAACCCAGTGCAGTAGCCTAGTGGCTAGTTGCATGTGCCAGGATCCCATGTGGGCAACTCTTCATATCCCGGCTGCTTCCCTTCCCTTCCAGCTCCCTGCTCGTGGCCTGGGAAAGCAGTGGGATATGGTTCAAAGCCTTGGGAACTGCACCCCTGTGAGGGACTTGGAATAGGCTCCTGGGTCATGACTCCTGGCTTCTGATCAGCTCAGCTTTGGCCACTGCAGCCACTTAGGGAGTGAATCAGTGGATTCCAATCTTTGTCTCTACCTCTCCTCTCTGTGGATCTGACTTCCCAATAAAAATAAATAAATCTTTTTTTTTTTTAAAGTAGGGATTTTGGTATTAAGTATATGGAAGGGATACTGAGTTATGAAAAATGTCAGCAAAAGTGAAGGCTTTTCATCATGCTTAATCTGACCAGAATTTATCTCCTGTTTTTTTTTTCCTCCATGTTTCTGAGGCAACATTCCCATTATGTCATTTTCAGTTTCAGCTTTAAAGACAGAGCATTCAAACTCAAATTCACATATTCTAAGACCAATAAAGAGAAGAACCCATATATACTTTCATATTACATAATTTTATAGTTGGTTTAAAAAACCCACATAAAAAGACTGAAATATTAACATCTAGAAAAGGTATTTTTTTTAAAAAAAAAAATGAAGGCTCATGCTCCTGATGGTATATGGAAATAAGCAGTCTAATATAAAATACGGAGTACTCTGAGACAATCTTCCTGGAAGACAATTTGATATCTATTCTAGGCATACCTCATTTTATTGTATTTTGCTATTTCACTTTTATTGTGCTTCATACACTTAAAAAAAAAAAACAAATTAAAGGTTTGTGACAATCCTGCATCCTGCAGGTCTAATGGAGCAATTTTTTTCCAACTGAATTGCTCACTTTGGAGATCTGTGTAACATTTTGGCGCTCTTTGTAATCATTTAAACTTTGTAATCATTTACTCTTTGTAATCATTTACACTTTTTATATTATTATGACATCTGTGGTCATCAGTGATATCTCATGGTTTAATTCTAATTGTTTTGGAGCACCATGAATTGTGCCCACATAATATGGTGAGCTAAATTGAGAAAGTTGTATGTGTTTTGACTGCTCCATGTATGTGTTTTGACTGCTCCACCGACTAGTTGTAACCTCTTCATTTTCCCTCCCCTAAGGTCTCTCAGACAAAACAACATTGAAACTGTGCTAATTAATAACCAAGAAATGACCTCTAAGTGTTCAAGCAAACGGAGGACTCTCACATCTGTCACTTAAACCAAAAGCTAGAAATGATTATGCTTAGTGAGGAAGGCATGTTAAAAGCCAAAACAGACTGAAAGATAGGACTCTTGCCCCAAGTATTCAGCCAATTAGTGAAAAGGAAGCAAAGAAATTTAAAATGTTACTCCAGGGTTCAGCATTGTGGTGCAATAGCAGATTAACATCAGTTTGTGATGCTGGCATGGAGTACCAGTTCAATTCCTAGCTTCTCAACTTTCTATCAAGCTCCTGGTTAATGTACCTGGGAAAACAACAGAAGATGGCCTCAATACTTGGCCTCCTGCTACCCATATGAGAGACCTGGATAGACTTCTGTGTTCCTGGCATTAGCCTGGAACACTCATGGTCATTGAGACCATTTGGGAGTGAGGCAGTAGACAGAATACATATCTCTCTTCCCTTCTCCATCTCTATTCTGTCATGTGCCTGTCAAATAAGTAAATAAATAAACCTTTTTACTAAAAGTGTAACTCCAGTGAACACATGAATAGATAGGAAAGCAAAACAGCCTTACTGCCAATATCAAGGAAGCTTTAGCAATATGGACAAGGTTGAATCAGCCATGATATTCCTTTAAACTGAAACCTAACCCAGAGTAAAGGCCTAATTCTCTTCAATTTTATAAGGGCCAAGACAGGAGAGGAAACTGCAGATGAAAGCCTGAACCTAACAGAAGTTGAAGCATCAAGTGCTGATAGAGAAACTGCAGAAGATTTGTCCAGGATAACTGATGAAGGTAGTTATATTTAACAGACATTCAATGTAGACAAAATTGCCTTTAATTGAAAGAAGATGCCATCCAGGAGAGAAGATAATGCTTGGTTTGAAAGCTTCAGAGGAAGAGCTGACTCTTGTCATGGGCTAATGCATCTGGTGACTTTAAGCTGAAGCCAATAATACTTTACTATTCTGAAAATCCTAGGGTCCTTAAGAATTTACAGCAAATACATTCTACCTATATCTATAAATGGATGACAGCACATCTGTTTATAACATGGTTTACTGAATATGTTTAGCCTACTGCTGGGAGCAACTGCTCAGAAAAAAAGATGTTCCTTTCAAAATATCACCTCTCACTGAAAGCACACCTGGTCATCTAAGAGCTCTGATGGTGATGCACAATGAGATTATTGTTGTTTTTATGCCCTCTAACTCAACACCCATTCTTCATGGAGCCTATTGATCAAGGAGCAATATAAAGCTATAACTGCCATGGATTCCTCTAATGGATACGGGAAAAAGCATACTTGAAAACTTCCATAGAAGATTCACCATTCTATATACCATTAGAACATTTGTGACCCATGAGAGGAGATTTAAAAAAAATAACATTAAGAGGAGTTTGGAAGAAATTGAATCTGACCATCATAGAAGACTTTGAGGATTCAAGATTTCAGTGGAGGAAATAACTGCAAATATGCTGGAAATTGTCAGAAAATCAGAAATGTACCCTGAAGACGTAACTGCATTGCAGCAATCTCATGGTAAAGCCTTAATGATTGAGGAGTTGTTTGTTACGAATGAATGAAAAAAAAAGGTGGGGGGGAGGGCTTCTTGAGATGGATGGAATCTACTCCTGTTGAAGAAGCTATGAATATTGCTTAAATGACAACAAAGGACTTGGCATATTTTATAAACTTAGTTAATAAAGCAGTGGCAACATTTGCGAAGACTTTGAAACACATTTTACTGAGGGTAAAATATTGTCAAGCAGCAGCACACTACAGAGAAGTTTTTTATGAAAAGAGTCAGTAAGTAGATGCAGCAAATTTACTGATGTCTCCTTTTAAGAAATTGTCACAGACACCCCAAATTTCAGCAGCCATTATGCTGTTCAGTCAGCAGCCACCAGTATCAAGGCAAGATCCTCCCCTAGCAAGACTTACGACTTGCTAAGGGCTTGAATGATTGCCAATATGTTCAGTATTGTTTTAAAATTGACTTATGTATACTGCGTGGACAGGTTTTTGAAAATTAACGGACTAAGAAGGAAGCAAACATCTATATGCACTGAGAAACCAAATAATAAATGATTTTACTTATTACCAAATTCACTATATTGCAGTCATCAAGAACTTAATCTGTAATATCTCCAAGGCGTACCTGCTTACACTTTTAAAGTGAGTCTGCTGTCAATTTCAAGAACTCCATGTCTGTAAGCTCATGCCAAGAAAAACCTTAAAAATATGCTCCAAGTTTAATGAAATTAGACTCTTAAACTTATTTTTTTCCGTATCCAACCCCAATATAAACTGTCATAAAGGGCCTGGCGCGGTGGCGCAAGTGGTTAAAGGTCCTCACCTTGCACGCCCAGGATCCCATATGGGCGCCGGTTCTATCCCGGCAGCCCCGCTTCCCTTCCAGCTCCCTGCCTGTGGCCTGGGAAAGCAGTCGAGGACGGCCCAAAGCTTTGGGAACCTGCACCCGCGTGGGAGACCCGGAACAGTCTCCTGGCTTCGGATCGGCATAGTATCGACCCGTTGCGCTCACTTGGGGAGTGAATCATCAGACGGAAGATCTTCCTCTCTCTCCTCTCTGTCTCTCCTCTCTGTATATCCGCCTTTCCAATAAAAAAAATGATAATAATAAAAATAAATGTTTAAAAAAAATAAAAAATAAATAAAAATAAATAAATAAA